CAGTTGTGTCTAGGTTCATAATAGATGGCGGTAGGATAGACATTGTTTCCACATTGTGCGAGAGAGTTGGTAATCTATACTCGTCTTTATCTATGAGAGTCTCTGCTTTGTCTGCGTATTTTACGAGTAGTTGTAGTTGGCGGCGCAGTTTGATGTCACAAGCTTGCTGTTCCGACCATATAGATGGCGCTGATGCATAACTGTCCCGTGTCTAGTAAAGGAGAGAGGACTATCTATTTCAGTCTTTATGTATGGGCGCAATGTGCACGGTGTGTGTTGACAAAAGTAGGAGACCAATCAATCAGTGGAAAACCACACATATTTAGTTCCGTTGAAGTGGAATACAGTTTTTGTAGGAAAAATGTCGGGGGGCAGAATGTGGAGCACAGAAAGTACTTGCAAATTAATAGAATTGTACAGAGAGCATCCATTATTATGGGAGAGTAAACATAAGCACTACAAAAATCATTACAAGAGAGCCGATGCATTGAAGGAGATTTGTTTAGCATTAAATATAGACTCCATTGATGATGTGAAAAAGAAAATAAAGAATATCAACACTCAGTATACGAGAGAAAGAAAAAAATACAAGAATATGAGAAAATTGGGGGCAGGTAAACATTTTGTTGCGAAATGGTTTGGATATGAACTGCTAGGTTTTTTGAGAGACAAAAATAAGTCTCCAAACAGCCTGCAAGCTGGATCTTCAACAGAAACACACGTAAGTAGATTACTTATTATACCTATATCAGCAAAAGTTGTAGTCTCGGTCGTAAGTAGCCACATGAAAAACATTTTAATTATAAATTTTAAGGAGAAAAGTAAACATACAGTACTGTACTGCCATGGTACTTGACCTAACTTTGTCATAATATACTCAGCATATTCGTCTCTGATGGCCCATGCTTCCATAGATAGAATTTTCAGAGATAGCTTTTCATGGAATGTTTGTAAGAGGTAATAACGCAGTATCAGGTTGGTTATCTCGTTCTTCTTAAGAATTTATGAAGCAATATTAATTCTATTTTCTCGGCCTTTTCTGGCTGCAAAGGCCATGGTTTACGCGTAACACGAAAAATAGCTGCGAGTAAACCAAAAACATTTTCAACTACCCTACGGGCTCTGCTAAACCGATAATTAAACACTCGATTTCTTGAGTTTTTCCTGATGCCCACTATATGGTTTCACTATAGCAGTTGTCAAGGGGAAGGTATCATCCGTTGCAAACGTATATGGGACAGGCAATTGCCTACCAAGTAGGTTACAATTCTGTGGGTGATTGAACGAAGACTCCTCCATCAATTTATGAAAAGATGTGCTCTTAAATACTCCTCCATCTGAAGTACGTCCTTGATCGCCCGCACTTGCATACATGAAGTTATATCTTGCATTTGTATGGGGGCTTCGATGTCATGAATGGCAAGCATGTAGTCATGCTTGCCATTTATGACACCAAGGCAGTGAGGAAAATTCCAAATCTTCTCATAATCGTCACTAACCTTTTTCCATTCGGATTCATTTGTAGGAGTCAGAAAACAAATTTAAACATTTGTATACAATTTAACTAGAACTTTTTTTCAGGAATCTGACTCATCACAGTCGTCATTAGATGGAACTGAAGCAGATGCCACTGGGAATATATCAAGAGATAGTAAACCGACAATCAATTTTTCGAAAACTTCTGAAAAGGCTAAGATAAACAAGGCTGTTAAACGGAAGGATATATCGCAAAATGTAGAGCGTAGGAATGAAGAAGTCTACAACATAATGACTCCCTTACAAAAGGATCGGCACGAAAAATCCCAAAATAAGCCAGATAAATTTGACATAATGGGTGAATTGGTAGCTCAAAAACTGAGGGGTCTACCCACACTTTATGCTCAGTGCACAGTAGAACATTTAATCCACAATCTATTATATGACGCTGAAATGGGGAAGTATAATAGTGAACCCAGTAAGCCACCATCATCTCAAGTACAATACCACTCGCACTTAAATCGACTCAACGTCGACACGTCTCAGTATAAATCAGACCAAGAAAGAGAAGGAAATTGAACTTTTTAATGGAAGAACAAGAATACCTTTTTTATTTTTTTTTAGTTTTGTATGCATGCGTTAATGATAACTCTTGTATTAAAAATTAGTTTCATACAGTAAATATGGCGTTTATTTTAGAGCGTATTACCATAAAAAAATAATTACAAAAGTTACATAGGTATACGTTTACATAACCACTGATACTGTTAATTGAAGCTTCACATACTTCAGGTATTATTACAGATAGTGACTGCTTTGATACTTTTGAAAGATACATTGGGCTGTGGTTAAAGTTATTGCTAACCTTTCTGTTACACTTCTGCAGTAAGTATGTCTTTTGGCAACTGCAGGACCAACAAGACATATCAGATTCTCGAAATCTTCGGTGGACATTCTTGGAAAATTCTTAAAGTTTGAACGAATCTCACCACTTAGTCCAATATTATCATCACGCAACTGAACTTACAATTTATTTATGAATAACTTTGAGTGAACTGAGTAGCTCGCGGATGACGTTGCCGGTCCCAAACCCGGATAAAAGAGGAGGATTCATAGGCCAGGTTAGCACCCTACCTAAGGTAACAAGTACTGAAGGCTCATAGAAGCGCAACCATGCTTCGGATTAGGACTGATCACAAGATGACGACCCAAAGCATAGGTTAACAAACTGGAAGAAAAAAATTATTATACGATTCGGATCCTGGAATGCGAAAACATTCAATTGCAAAGATCAAGAAACACTAAGCGAGTTAATAGATAATAATATTGATATTTGTGCCCTACAAGAAACTAAGATCAAGGCATTATGAAGGCTACACTGTAATCCACAGTGGTGGAGAAAAACAAGAAAGAGCAAAAGAGGATGTAGCAATAGCGGTTCACAACAAATACTAAAAAACCATCCAAGAATGCCCTCACGAATATTGACAGTTAAAGTAGTCGCAGAAGACCAACAGCTACCAATAATATAGATATACGCACCGGAAGATAATCAACCTAAAAATGTAAGAGAGGACTTCTTTAATCAACTGCACGATATTATTGAATCTATTTCACACAGCCAACCAACAATAATCCTCGGCGACTGATTCCCGGCATAAAGCAGACGTTTAACGAAAATACACTAAATAATAACGGACAACTCATGCTTACCTTGTGCTCACTCAATGAATTGCGCATCAACAATACTTTCTTCGAGCATAAATAATAATACAGAGTCTTGCGATAGCTTTACTGCGAGTAGGACGTGCTCGGCGGAAATCCGTATATCGAATTTCAATCGAACGAATTCCAATCGAAAAAAGTCTGTCGGTATAAAATTTAATCGCTTATCGGCCAGAGTAAACAGCGAGAAAACCAAATCTGCTCTTCCCAGGCCACAGACATGGACCCTGGGAGCTCACAGAAGTCTGAGTTGGTCCGGGCCTCAGAAAGGGTTTTTTCTAAAACCCAAATCCAAAAAAGAGGTCGAAAACCGAAGTCTGACACCACCTCACCAGCAACACCAACTCCAGCAGCCAAAAAACCAGCTATTCTTGCCACCACAAGAGCAACAACAACAAAAACAACATCAACTCCAACATTGCAACCACAACAACACCAACGCTACTACTATACACACCCTCTCAGTAGAAGCTCCAATTACAACATCCAGAATCCAGCTGGCCCCCGAATGGGAAAAGGTAAATGACACCAAAACAACACAAGCGCTTCAGCTGTTGATTGAGTGGGGTCTCATAACATCCTACAAGATGCTCCACAGCAACACCACCACAACTCCCCAAGTCACCAACCGACCAATATCACCTTCCTATTTGGTGGTGGCCACCGGGGTTGATCTGGAAATCTCAGACGAGATGTTCCTGCAGCAACTCCGGGAACAGAACTTTACCATCAGGTTCTGTAAACGCATAATCTCACGTCAACGAGATAGACCTACACTGATGGTGAGGCTCATAACGGGAGACGTAAACACCTATGAGAGGCTAATGGGGGAGCGCTCCGTCCACTTCCTGGGACGAGTGTTCAAAATAACAGAGAGCAAACCACCAACGCCCATTCCCGCTCCATGTGGCCGGTGTGGCCTGTTCAACCACCGTAGAGAAGACTGCAGGGAAACCATCAAGTGCGGCAGATGTCAGGGACCACATCCAACGATATCATGTGAGTCCCCTCTCCCAGTTAAGTGTGCAGCATGTAATGCTGAGGACCATGCAGCATGGAGCCTGCGATGCCCTAAGAGGCCAACTGTTCCTATCGAAGGCATTCCTACTGTAAAAATAAAGTGCCTCAACAAAAGAGCAGCCGAGATGTCGATTTTGATAACCGCTCAAGGCAGGGTCCATTCACCTATTACGACGACCCACGATTATATTATTAACAAATACAAACACCAGCTGAACAAAACCACTAACACCAACAGGGAAGAGCTACTCAAAGAAATGGGAAAGCAATTCGATGATGATTTCAACATCGACACCTCGTGGTCTTTTTTGGCACTCATATATACATACTTATGATTGACATGTTACTCCCTAATAGCAGCTCCCATACGGAACCCAGAGAGCAACTAAAACAAACAATTACAAACATAGACCCTTCAACATGAGACTACTTTACGAGAACGTCAACGGACTTAACAGCTTAAACGACCTGATACACATATTTCTGACATACATACACCCACACTCCAACCTAGAGCAAAACATACTGACCAAAGCAAGCCTCTATAAATATTCAATAATTATAGGCGACTTTAATTTGAATTCAAACAAAATGAAACAGCTTCAAATATTTTTACAAAATTCGGACTATGAAACGGTACACCCCACCAACTTTTCTGATGACCGGAAATCCAAATTCAACACCAGACGTTCTACTGCACACAAGAAACTTAACAAACACCATCAACGACATAAAATTAACCAACGAACTTGGATCCGACCACCTTGCTATTACGTTTAACATAGACTTACAACATACGCAACCTACCTTCAGTACACCTCCTATAGAGAAAAAGTTAAACCTAACAAAGACTGACATATACAAAGTGAAACAACATATACATGACTACATTCAATCGCAAGCACAGCCCATTTCATTAGAAACCATACCAGAAAAACTTTCACTAGCCATAGGAAAATTTAGCCCGGAAGTAAAAAATGTTTTCTACCGACACACTCTACCCAAATTCATACTCAGACTCATAAAACATAAAAGAGAACTGTACAGACTATATACATACACCCAAAATAATGACCTAAAAAAGACACTGAACCAACTCAACAAAAACATTAAAACTTTGATTGAACAATACCGGCAAGACATTTGTAATGGCTAGAAACATGTACGGAAATACAAAAGGACAAAGGCAAAACATACTGGCGAAAAATTAAGAAACTTGCAATATAAAACTAACACTACTGACGCAATTGACGAAAACGGAACAGAACGTTACACAGACAAAGAGAAAGCTGACGCATTCGCCCGACACTATCAAAAGGCCTTCAGCATATCGACAAACCCTAACTTCAACAATGACAACTGGAACAGGATCACTGACTGGTACTTGAACTACTTTAACAACTCACCAAACTATACTTACGATGAAGCCCTATCACATATCAAAAACACAGCACCGGGAAAAGACAAAA